TAAAGCACCTACCGATAAAAACATCACAATGCAGATGGATATAAAGTTCAACTTAATTTCACAAAATGTTTGATATAAACCAAATAAAAAAAGTCTAACCATTTTTTTTGTGCAGGTCTATATTTGGTACAGGTGTGACATTTAAACCCACAGGTTAAACAACGTAAGTGGGGAAGCATACAGTATTCAATTTTGTTTTCGCATTGCTTCACTTATCTAATAACAATGAATTCGCACAAACAGTAAAATGAATATGGTAAAATACTAGATTTTGCTGAAAAAAAAAAAAACTCAATTAGTGAAACAAAGGTTCCCTTTAAAACATGCACCATGCACTCATTGCATTTGCTTTTATTAACAGAGTCTAAATAGTGTAAAAACATATAGCTACTTTTAGAGGGGCAACAATTCAGTTCTTCTAGTCTCTTGAATAGACGTCCAACACGAGTGAAATTAACCTAGTATCGGCACTTAGGCTAAGCCTGAGCTGCACCAATACCAAAACAAGTAACAAGGACAATGACAGGTGTCAACAGAGCATTATTTTTACTGCATTTCAAAGTACCTGGAATGAGATCATAGCATGTGAGGGCAGATAACCATCCACATTGGAATCTACTCGTTGACTATTATGGTTTGTAAACTGTATAGTAATCTTACTGCCCAAACGCTTTACATACAAAGAGGGCGGATTTTTGCCTTTGATATTACAAATGACAAGTAATGTTTACTTTACATTTTCAGTGATTCCAATGGCACTTAGGCTATCCTACCCACTAAATATCAGACAGCTCGCACCTGGCTGTATTGGACAAGGATTAGTATGCATATCTTGCCCGATCGGCACCGGGATCCCGCAGATGGTCATAGGTAGAACTTCTTGGTAGTGCGGGGACCGGAGAAAGGCGTGAGCGCTCATATGCATATCCACCTGCCTCGATAGGGACTCTCCGAATCGGACTCCGGTCACGTGCGTAGTATGCGGAGACTGGGGCTGGTGGATGAGGGAGGGGAGGACACTCGTATGGGTCGAGGCTAGAGGGGGGCAGACGTTCCCGCATTAACGCTGTGGAAGGCGTGGATGGAGCTGGCAACGGGACAGTGCGACGTTCCTCAAAATAACTGCCGCCATAAGAATTGACCCTGTACCTCTCGTAGTAGTCCACAACCCCGTACGGGTCCCTTTCGTCGTAAGGCGACCGCCGCATCGGGTAGGGTGGTACCGCGCCATAGACCGAGCCGTTGCTCCTGTATGCCGCCTCACTGCCATACATCCGAGCCATGCTATGTTCAGGAACAGCGCATATGCCATAATCTGGATGCGGCCCGTATCTCATTGCACTCTCGTAGCCCGAACCCCTTCCGTACCCTGCCATGCTGCTGCTGTGACCAGAACCCCGGGAATAACCATGCACAGGAGCATAGCCGCCAGCATAATCTGGATCGCCACTGAAGTCCGGATAACCCCGATTGTGAGCACGCCCGCCAAATCTCGAAGTATCGTATCCATCAGACTTTGGCTCTGAGCCGTTTCTGTGGTATCCGTTTTGGTCTAGAGGGCATTCTTTGGACCAGTGGCCTTCCTGCCCGCAACGATAACAACCCGATCTGTCTCCCATTCCCGGCGCAGTACGCAGGCGGCTAGTCGAAAGCTTCACGCTCATCAGTTTGCCTTGAAAAGAAAAGACTCAATAAAGACTTGTGCCAGCATTTATTTAAAATATATATATTAGACATTTCCTGCCTGGCAAACAAAGTCTCCTAATCCTAGTCAGTCATAAAGCTTGCAAAATATTGTAATTAAAGCTGAAATCCGTAACTTTTCACACATTCTTACCCCCTTGCAATGGCGAAAGGGAACTTTAAAAAAGCATCGTGTTATAATGGAAGGTTAAATGTTAGATTGCTATTTGAATCAGCTAGTGCTTAAACACAGCTCAAAGGATTCTTTCCATGTCTGGGTAGCAAAGAGTGTCCATGTGACAAAGATGTAATCATATGCATGTGCAACCGGAAATCAATGACACCGCGGTCAAACGTGACCTGTGTGCGGAAACCAAATAAGGGAAAACAGGACCGCACGCTCATCTGTTCTAGTATTCACCCGGCCCCTAATGGGCCTATGCCATTGAGTTTGATTTGTAAAAATACAGATATGCTTTGTTATTCATTACTTGCATTAACATCCAGTAAAGAGGTGATTCTACAAGGCAATCATAAATTCCAGTAGGTGCCCACGTGTTTTAGAACAATCGAGCATTACGAATGCCAGCTTTAAAATAAAAAGCGTGACCATACTTTCTTCAACTTCTCTTCCTTTTTCACTCTTCACTTACCTGTGGGTATGTTTGTAACTTACCTATCAATTCACATATTGAAATATTCTTGATACTACATATATATGGTTAAATCCCCATTAATCCCACCCCAAGAGTTCACCTTTAAAAGCTGTGTTGTCTAAATGATTAATGACTTCCAAGGCATCCTCCATCCGGTCCATGTGAACAAAAGCATAGTTTTTTACTATGTCACACTCTAACACAGAGCCAAACTCTTCAAACTTGGCCCTCAACTCCTGGTTGGTACAGGCAATGTTGCCAACATGTAGTTTAGTGGATCCTCTTGACTTGCCACGGCTCATTTCTACATTCATGGGCTGGCCATTTAGCTCATAATGGTGGAGGTTGCTGATGGCTTCTTCCGCCTCCGCTTTGTCATCCATGTGCACAAAGCCGTAGTTCTTGACAATACTGCATTCTCCAATCTTGCCATATTGGGAGAAGAGAGAGCGAAGTTCTTCCGATGTTGTGTCTGGTGACAAGTTCCCGATGAATATTTTCACCATTGTGGAGCTCCCACGTCACTAAGGGTAAGGGAGAATAAGATATCAAGGTTACTGGTATCACAATTATATTTACTTTGACATTGACCAATTGATTTAACCTAATTCAAGTGATAATTAATCATACTAACTAGACCATCACAAGATGAACTTTGACAACAATGAATGATCAATGGATATATACAGATTATTTTAGTTCGTCAAGACATATTTTGTGGGTCAGTTTTGTTTAACCAATGTTAATGGCATATAATATTGCAAAACAAAATAATATTCTGTTAGTAGTAAACGTGCACCGCCTCTATCACTGTACCCAGTGGTGTAAAGTAACTAAGTACACATACTCAAGTTCTTTACTTAAGTACAATTCCGTGTATATTCCATGTGTAACATCTGTGCATCTTCTTATTCCGTTGCTGCCCGGACACATGAATTTCCCTACGGGGATTAATTAATGTCCATCTTATCTTAATTTATTTTATTTGAGGTACTTTACTCGAGTATCTCCATTTTCCGCTACTTTGTACTGCAACACCACTATACTTCAGAATGTTGTACTTTTACTCCACTACATTTATTTAATACCTTAAGTTACTTTACAGATTTTGATTAATGCTATAAAACATAATCAACACTTAAATAAGAATTTACTTAACACTGGACTAAATTCACAAACTACCCAGCAGTAAATAAATAAATACAAAAAAGTTCAACCTTTACCAGCTATAATAAACGTATTAATGCATCCATAATTAAAATCACAACATATTTTTTTATATATCTCGAAATTGGCCATATGCATAATGAGTTATTTTACTTTTGGTAAATTAAGGACTTTCAATTGTAAGAGTATTACTACATTCTGGTACTTTTACTCCATCTTGTATTTTCTTGTAAGATCTTCCACCTCTGACTGTATCCAGTTCTCTTCATATATCCATGGTTCAGGGCCCCAGCTGTGAGTTCAATGCTTTATGAAAAAGTGCATATCCTCAAAAGAAGAATTATTAGTAAATATGTTCGTCTGTAGAACACAGTGTGGATTTGCATTGCTTATCTCTTGCTTGTATAGAAAGGCCTACCTTTCCAGCTCTGGAATTACTCCACAAAAGGGACACTTACACATCACTCTCCCATTCACAGCAAACCGTGTATCTACATCTTCTTTCGTTAGCTGCTAATGATGCTAGCCGAGTTAGAAACATAGTGGCATAAAATGTATTTCGTATAACGCTAGCTAAATCATCATATTTGATTTAAATCATAAGCAAGACTTTTAACATGCAGTTTTAACCAAATGTCTTGTCTAAACACGTGGTAGGTTAAACGTTAGTCCGTAAACTAGCTTAGCGTATCCATACATTTTACAAAACACGCATTTGATACCACTGTTTAGCCTAGCTAGCGTCAGTCTGTGTATTGGACAGTTTTGATTACAAATAAGCCTTTAGATAACGTTCAATATGTGATGTTTACATTCTTACCTATTTAAAACTGCGATGAGCGTCTCTTCCCTCGGAGAATGAATGACGATTGAACCCTTTACGACTGACTGACGTTAGCAATTCATGAGCAAGCAAACACCATAGCAGGATCAGGCAGCTAACTCTCAAAGCAAGGAGAGACTATCGTTACAGCGCCAAATGCTACGCCATCATGTTGATATGAGACAAGACTTCTTTTTTTTTTTAAATATTGGAGTGAAAATAATAAAAACGCCAACAAGTAAATCACATATCACTAGTGATGTGATAACCCTATAATTCCCTTTAAAAATATAAATAAAAACGGTGTATCTTCTAATACTTGACAGAACAGCCCCTTGTTTAAGAAGAGCAGCCCATAATCACAGTTTACATAAATGTGAATAACAGATTAGCATTCTTTATATTAACAATCTGTTTTTAGCCTACCTATACATATATGTTACCCTCTGAGGGTCCTAAACCCCAGGCTTGTTAACATTAATGTAAATGTTGCATTGTTTTTACCCTGGTCCGACATTAATATACCCAATGGTTGCTACTTAATAACAAGCAATATTTGGACTTTTGAATCCATGTGAGTCAGTATGTGGATTATTAGTTTCTCAAATTGGTATTTCCACTACATACTAAACCTGACAACATTAAATCGGGTTTTAAAGAAAGAACTGAAAGAAATGTCACCAAAAACAGTTTTGGTTTATTCAAAATTATATTCATTTTAGATGTAGGCTATGCTAGTACGTATACAGCTAGTATGAAAAATACAAACTGTAAAAAGCACCAAAGGCACCTTCCAGAGAACACAAGTGCTGGTTATACTAGTATGGACACAAAAAAACATCCATCCCAAATAAAAGTAAGGAGATAACAGACTATTCTGTGTTGGCAAAGTGTGCAACATTACATAGACAGAAAGCATACACAAAATGTTATGTAGTTGCACATTGCATGACAGCTGACTTTTTGTATGGTGTCCCTTGTTATGAAATGTTGACTTCAGATCAACAGACACTTCATAAGTGTTATCAAATGTGTAAATTATATATTTTTTAGAAATTGATTAAAACTGGAAGAAAAATTAAGCTGGAAGGTTTGAGATGATCTGCTTACCATAGAAACTAACTCAGTGTCACAATTGGAGTTGTCAGTTGCATGGATATGGATGTTTTTCTCTATTGTGTTCAATGTGAATCTCAGTAACACAGCACATTTAACAAACACCAACTATCATCATTTGGGTACAAACATTAATCTTTATCCACATCCATATAAGTGACTCAGATCAAGTCTATATATCTTGCCATTGGCAAGATTCTGTACTACAACAACTGATGAAACATCAGTTAACCCTCATTCCATTCAAAAAAGGTAGGTACATTTTGATATATTAAAGAAACATAAACACTTCTTCTAAACAAGAAACAGGAGCCAAACATGTACTGGATTTAACAATTCAATTAACGTGAGGAAGAAACACAGGTAAGAAAAAAAGTCAGCTAATTACTGTTAGATACATCATTAATGTAAAATGGTGCAGTCAGTCCTTATTGAAAACAGGTTATGTAAATGTGATTGAAAGGACGATTCATCTGCGGGCAACTGGCATCTCAGGCGCCTGGAAGATGCCGACACAATTTCCAATATAATAACCGCAATTCTTATCTTCGAAGCACACACGACTGATGGAATCACGTAGCTTCGAGAAATGACGGCAGAGGAAGAGTCCTGGAGTTCACAAACAGACCTGAAAGAGAGCAAATACCGTTTTTAGACAAAGGGTTCAAACTAGGGCATAAAGATGAACCATACTCAAATAAAAATTGCTGTGTAGTAAAGAGGTTAAGGCTTTAGTAACTTAAATATATTTAGAGCCGTTGTGTGCACTAGCTTCTGTATTTGTTCAAATTAAAAATTAAAAACAAAAAAGATTTTCATTATCCTTAAACCTTATTTGACTCTGCCATTATCAGCACCATAGCTTAAAAGGAATCAGTATCTTAAAAACCAAGTTACAAAGCTAATTGTGATCTCAGTGCCCACTGACTGGTAACGTTGTACAGTAAAGTGGGCCTCTGTTCAGAGAACAGAAGTAGTATCATACAATGTCACGTTGCTCACCTTGGCACCCAGTCTTCAGTAAGGCGCATAGCGTGGTGTGTAATTATCCCTGGGTCTGGGGGCAGAGTAGGAGCTTCTGGTGGCCGACACCGGGGACAGCCGTGTTCGCTCGTAGGCGTAACCTGATGGGGAGACCGGCACCCGTCTGATCGGGCTGCGGTCTCGTGCGTAGTATGCTGCAGCCGATGGCGAGGGGGGCAGTGCCCGACGTTCATACGCATCTATACTGGAGGAGAGCTTTGAGAAGGAGGAAGGAGGGGGTGGGGGAGGAGGAGGAATATAGGACATTCGGCGACCCTCAAAATAGCTTGAGCCGTATGGCCGATCTCTGTACTTCTCATAATAGTCGACACTGCTATAGAGGCGGTCGCGGTCATACACTGATGACCTCTCGGCGTAGGAGCTTGGCGCTCTGCTTGCGTACCGCTCCCCCAGCTCAGGGCTGTAGCCGCTGAGCCTACGAGGGGGAGGCGGCAACCCACCCATGTAACTAGAGCGACTATACGCAGAGCCACTCCTGTATTCAGCTGGAGGGGAGGGCATCTCATAGCTGCCCCTGCCATAACTCGGGGGACTGCGTGGGGGGGCCCGGCTGCTGTGACCTCTTGAGCCTTCACCGTGGCTACCGTTCCGACTGACTGGACAATCTTTCGACCAGTGACCATGTTTCCCGCAGACATAGCAGCCGGTATGTTCTCCCATTCCTGGGGCCGTGCGCAGCCGACTGGTGGACAGTTGTACGCTCATCAGCTTGCCTTGTAAGGAGAGAGAAGACACGCATGAGACCGAGGATTTCTGACACGAAAAAGGCTCTTACCGACTATTAAACACGCTAAATGCATTTTACCGAAAATCACTGAGCAAAGCGAAATAACCTTCCGCGCCAGGTGCAGGAGATTTTATGCCAGAGCCTATTCACCAGTAACACTGCCACTGGTTTCACAAAAGACACCGTCAAAATTACAAGGGATCACTTTCAGTCCACATGGTCAATGTTGGAAAAAAAGCCAGTGGATTTTACTTTTCATGAGAGCGGTACAGCGACAGATCAGAATCCAAATTTGTTTTTATAGACAGCAAAGACAACTAGCTCTCCCCTGCCAAAGAGTTCACCTTTGTAGGCCGTGTTGTCCAGCTTACTGATGGCATCCATGGCGTCCTCCATTCGCTCCATGTGAATAAACGCGTAGTCCTTCACTATGTCACACTCTACCACCGTACCAAACTCTTCAAACTTAGCCCGCAGAACAGGGTTGGAAACCCCCTCGCCGAGGTTGCTGACATGTAGTTTGGTGGTGGACTTGGGCCTCCCTTTGCTCATCTCAACATTCATGCGCCAGCCATTCAGCTGGAGCTGGTGGAGGTTTCGAATGGCCTCCTCTGCTTCAGAAATGTTGGACATGTGTACGAAGCCATAGTTTTTGACAACGTCACTTTCTGTGACTTTTCCATACTTCTCGAAGAGTTCTCGGAGCTCCTCGGGTGTAGTGTTGCAGGCAAGATTGCCAATAAACATTTTAACCATGGTGGTAGTTCTGTGTATCCTGGAAGAATTAGAAACATGTGTCAGTTACTTCTGTTTAACCCCAATCAATGTAATGTCAACAGGGTTGTCAGCACTAACTCTCTGTCAAAAGGAAAGTGATGTACTTAATAAATACACTTGGTTGCCAGTTTCTTAGGTAAATCTAGCAAAAACTAATGCATTAAAATACAACAGACCAGCAATAAATCCTTACTTTATGGAAGTAAGTATTTTCATTTTATGTTTTTCATTACAATCATTTATTGAATATTGATCTGATGTTACTTAATTAATTGTTTTATGTTAAATTGCACTGTTGAGGAACCTGCGACTTAAGTTTTTCATCATTACATAATTTCACCATAGTTGTGTATATGTTTGACAATAAACCTTTGAATCTTAAAACAAATACGAAATGGTGTGCTCAATTTTATCCAGTGTGCCATCGGATTCTAAAAATCTAAATACAACAATAACCATTTTTTGTCTTTCTTTGATCTGTAGTTTAGTCTTTTTCAATTTGTACCTAAAACATGTATGATTTGAGGTAACAGGTCAATCGTTTGGCATAGGGCTTATTTTAAATAGTCATCATGTAGGTAAATAAGGTTGAACTCTGTTAAAAAAAACGATTGCCGTTTGGTGGTTCAGATGTATATTATGTGACTGACAGGTCTGTTACATTATATGGACAATATTAACTTACATCCTTAATAAACCAAAAAAGGCGACAAACCTACAATATTGAAGAATGTGTGTCAAAGTATCCTATCAATGAATTCCGTGCACTTGTATGGCACTGGTGCAAACTATCCAAGCACAGTGGTTGAAAAATAATTCAGATTCTTTACTTGAGTAATGAACAAATACTACATTTCAAGTTATGCATTGAGAATGGTACTTAAGTAAGTATGTAAGTATGATTAGGAACATGTACTCAAAGAATAGGGAGTACCAAGTACACATTACAATATACAAATTAAAATATGTTAATATTTTTTAAATAAATATTCACATTTAAGAAGCTATAATTGTGAAATATTTTTTAATAAAAAACTTCTGAGCAAGATTGCTGGCAATTAATTTTCAGTTGACCCACTCATGGTCTTAGTTGCTTAAATATAATATTGGATGGTTTAATCTATACCAAATAATCACATTTTAAAGGTTTTGCATAAGTATTTAGTGTCAAAATTGGAAAAGTAACTAGTAAATTAATCCGTTAAATTAATGTAGGAGAAAAAAGTTCGGCGTTTGGCTTCCGAAATGTGGTAGAGTAGAAGTATAAACTAGTGCAAAAATGAAAATACTTGGGTAAAGTACCATAAATGTGTACATACATACACACACACTTCCGCCTAATCTAAATACACAACAGTGTTTACAAGCTCTGAAAGCTCGCGTGTACACTTGTGATACAGTATTCGCCTTAAAGAAGGAGTTTTTAAACCTTGCATGCTACTTTATTATATGTACCAACTGTGGGTAGTTTGATTAAAAAGGTAATAGATAAGCCTAACGTCAGCAAACAAGTCGTGCTAGCTGGCTAAGCTAGCTTGCTAAAAATAGTTATTAAGCTTTATTATTCTTCGCAGAGTATCTAGCATGACGCTACAGCCTGAACTACTCGCTCGGTTTTAACATACTACAGTAGTTATAATGTTCATTGCGCAAGTCTTCCATGCTCGTTCATGTATCAGTGTAATGGCGTTCTAATGTTTTCGAAAGGAAGGCGTATGGATTCAGAAAGCTAACATATTAGCTGAGCTAGCTAACAGCTTACTTGTTAAAGTATGCCTGTTAATTCAGCAGATATCCTTTCAGAACACATATAAAACAACGCTACGATGTCAGGGTTTCAATACCAACTTAAACAGTTAGTTTACCGTTTCAACCATATATTCTATAACTCACCAATTATACGATGTAACTTAGGCCTCGACCCTAATGAATGAAAAGTGAAATGGCGGCTCAGCTTCTCCCGTCTGTATGTCTCCCTGTCCTGCTCATGGTCCTTCTCATTACCGCCACCCACCGAGTGGAAGTATGTACTGTAACCGAACATATTCTACATAGCCTATTACTACAGAATACAACAATACTTGTTCTATATCTTTGAAAACCTAGTGTCAAATTGAAATTGGGCTTTCTTGTTTAGGATGCAGAGCTGCAACCAATTCGCATGGCAAGTATGGTTGTCCAATCATACAATGCAGTGTGTAAAGAAGAAGTAAGTAAGCCTACTGTAAATAAGTAGCGACGTACTGTACTTAAATACAATTTTGAGGTACTACTCTACTTGGGTATTTCAAGAATGTTTTATATCGTGTTCTTTTACTACATGTAATTAATACCTTTTGTAGTGGAGATTTACGGTACGTCCACACAGCAGCTTTAAAAAAAATCTTCCAACGCTTCTCTGCCCATTGACTTTGAATGGGGATGACGTCACTTTGTCTGGCTTTTCGCCGAACTGCATTGTGGGGAAGCAAAGCGAAGATTTCCAGGGTTGCGTTCCGATAATCCAAAAATTAGCTCCTAAATTCTAATCCTATATCTCCTATTCCTTGACCTCTGAGTGAAACGTCACGAGGTTAAGGGATAGTGGATAGGAGAATTCAAAAGGACTTAGGAGAAGAGACTGTGGTACTTTAGAGAATCCGAATGCACTTTCACTATCTGACGTGTTTATGATTGTGTGCGTCTGCTGCTGTGGTGAAACTATGGAAACTACAGTGTTCTATACAACGGACTACAACATGGATGTTTAATAAGAACGAGGGACTACTGTAAACTCATCTAGAGACTCTGCACCGTGCTCTGATGCTGTTGTTTTATGCTTTATGAACGTGGACAACAGAGAAACATATTCTTCGTGACCAAAGTTGTAATTGAAATAAAAAAGGAAAGTGAAATTTATGCTCGTCACCCTCTCCCTCCGGTCCACATTAATACAAATGATCCCAATACGTATGATTGTATGAAAATATCTTAAAATAAATACACATTTATTTATTATAAACGTTAGTCCTTAACATCTATCAAGGTGTATATCACCATTCAAACATCTTTTAAAAGTTGAACAAACTCCACACAGCTCAGTGAAATGTTGACTTTATTTGATCATTTCAGTAAAAACTAACGTTCATATTTCTCTTTTTGATTATAATACTGATGAACGTTCAAAACAAAGCACTTTGGCAAGTTACCACATACGTTTTAAAATGCTTAATAAGCACCGTAACTTTCATGATATAACT